CATAATTTATCTTCAAATCAAAATATGAACAATGTGAAGGATTAAGGTGACACAATGCAAATTAAGGATAAGATATACTTGGAGTATTGAGGCTATTGAGTAAATTTTTATATCCTTCATAAAATATAATACATGATCATGTAATGAAAGACTGTAAAAAATACACATACTGGGGAGCTGACCTAATGTTCTTGACCTTAATATTCTTCAATTTTGCAAGCTCATAACATTCTTTAATGGAGATATTTTTGGTTGTGTCTATAACATAGTAGGAAATACTCTTCCCTTAAGCTTCCTGCCGTAGATACTGCAATGAACTGAACACATTTTGAATCTAAAATAAGAATAATGGGGATATGGTATTTGGTATTTTTTGCAGTTGATGATAGCTTTTCCAGATCATTCCATATTAAATGTAACATAGCTTTTCTATCAGATACGGAAAAGAGGAAAAAAACTATTTTTAAGCACTTTTCTTAGTATTCATTTATCCAATATTACAGCACACTTAGCAAAAGGTAATCAAACTAAGTCTGTAACTGCCAAAAAGAAGCATATCTCTTCCACACTGACTGTTTGATAGATCCACATTGCAACTATAACAGCTCCAATAAATCTGCAATAGCAATGATGTCTGAAGATTAAAACCAATAGAAAACAGCCTTTCAACACTTTGGAAAAGTAGTTGGATGAAAATGATGTTTTATATCACACAAATAGATTTTGTCTAAATCTATGATTATCTCACAGACAGCAAAGCTGGAAGAATCTCTCAAGAAAGTAACACAACAAATACATCAGATGCAATGGTAAGAGGTTTAATGCAGCAAAAGTAAATGTAATAAGACAGCAGTGAGTCTAATTGATAAAATGATAAAATATTCATGCTTTGTTTGCCTTTCTTATATGTTTTTACAGAAATAAATGAACAGCGGTTTCTGACATCAGATCCATTTTATTCACATTAATCAAGCCTGTCAGGAAGAAATCCTTTTATTTTAAAATTCAAGTCAGTAGTTACTCTAAAAACAAACTTTTAGTACAGTTTATCACATAGATATTCAGTTTTAAATCTTTATTTGCAGTTACATAGCCATGTTTGTGTATTTTGCAGAGGGCTTTCTAGCATCAGCCTGGACAGTACTACATCTTTCTTGGTATCTAGTGCATTTACAAAATCACCAGAATTTTGTAACATGATTCTCATCTTTTCTATTTCTAGTAAAAATTAATTTCTTGGCTCATCTTGGATTGATCTTTTTTTCTCAAATGTGTCAAAGAGCCAAGAAGTAGCTCATTGTTGTCCCCCTGCTCAATGACTGCTCATTGACATTAATCTTTTCATCTTACTTATTTCCAGCTTTAAGCCAAAGTTCTTATTGATCCCTATATGCACGCTGTGCTATAACTTTTAAAGTAATAAAATTTTATTTCGATTTCTTATTGGAAAATATCACAATTTTACAATCATTATGTAGCTCTCAAGATTGACGTAGCTTTTTATCTTCGGAACTTTTTGTCTTCAGGTTTCACGAACTGTGTGGGCTATCCCTGTGTCACTGGGGAGTATAGTAAGCAGGATCAGTTGCAAGACTGAACTGAGAGGGACATCACAAATAACATTTCTGCACTCTTTTCACCCTTTTCTGTTGTTTCTTTCCTTTTAACATCATTTATGGTTTAGGTACTTGAATTAATCACCCTTATCTCTGCTTCAAAGTCCCATGGCCTATACAGCACTCTGAGGTTTAAATTGGATCAATGCTGAAAAAATGTGCTTAGTATTGTTAAAAATAATAATCTGCTTACCAGCACATAGACTAAACCAAAAAAAAGAAAGATAACAGATTGATCTACTGTGATCTACTTATGGTGAATTGATTACATTTTCCATATAATATTCTTCCTGTGTCCTATTCTATCATTCTCGTTTTCCGAGATTTCAAAAATTACTGGGAAAAAAACCTGAACAGGCTTGGTCTGTTTTTCCCTTGTAGAGCATATGGGTATTAAAATTTACTCTATAGTTACAATGGCCTTCTCCCTGTAGCTCCATCTTCTTGAGAGAAGCCCTTTATGAATGCCACTTTATGAATACCAACGATTGAGGATGCTGAAATCTCCTTAATAAGGCTGCTTATGAAGCCAGCAATTTAATTGCAAAATTTTGTTGATCTTTATTCCTTTTCTGTGTTTTTTCAGTATAGCCTTTCCTTTGACTCTGACATGCACATAACACTGTATTATGCTCTTTTATGCTGCTTGGTGTAATATAACGGAAAGAAAAACAGTATAAAGGAAACTAAGGATGTGGTGGATTATTACAGTTTATATATTTTTATCCACTGACTCCTTTTTCCTGTCTGCATCTCAAAGAAACAGCATCTTGGTTATATCAGATACAGAGTTTGTACCAAATTTTAGATTTTTTTTTAGTTTTGCTATGTTAATATGACCTAGGGCACCTCCTTGCATGCCCTGTAGACATGTTCCTCCTTATTTACAGTTATTGGCAAAGGTACTGGTTTCATTAAGCTGTTGGTGGATAGCATGAAGATGCCAGCATTTCTTTTGATAGCTGTATGTTTTAAAGTTTAGGAAATGTACGCATCAAAATGAACATTTTTGGTTCAGCTGTAGTTAACAGTTGTATTTTAACATCTGTTCTTCCCTGAAGTACTTCACCTTAATGCTATGCTAAATTGATATTGTTGGGTATGCAATGACTCATACAGACATTATGATATAGAGAGAATGTTCACAGCTTTATCAAATAGATTACTAGTTTGCTTCATGGCAAATAGTGTCATTTTAAAACCAGCTACTGATGGATACAATGCTTTGATTTTTATTGCTTCTCTGACCGGCTAGACACATGAACTAATCAAACCAGCTTTCAATTTGTATCTGTTGTTTCTTGTTTCCCCTTTAGTGTGAAACCTTCGGAGCAAACTACACAACTCCCATTTCCCAGTACAAGCAGAAATTCACTTTCCAGTAAGAAGTGTTGGTTTCAGATATTAACTATGGAATACCTATCACCGGATAGAGCTATGTTCTAATACTAAATTTATTAATTACTTTAGTTCCTTCAAGATCACAGAATGGTTATTCTTCATATTCTCTTCGTTCTAGTCATCCTTCCAGCTCTGAAATGTAGGTACACATTTGTTAGTTCTCAATGAAAATCTTAACTAGTATTTTATACAGAAATACAAGTTTTTTGTAGTGAGTTCAAAATAAATATATTGTCTGATTTTGTGTTTTGTTTTTGCGAAGAGATTTAGTATGAAAGAACTGGGGAGGGTCTTATATATCCAAATGTACACTATAAATACTTCAGTGTATTGTCTTTGTACTCACTGGAAAAAATCCAAGGCATGATGCACCTTATGGTAAAGAATTTTTGGATGGATAGGTACATAGATTAGATAGCTAGATGGATAGAGATCAATAGATAGATTAGTAAGGAACTCTTTACATTTACTATAGGGAAAAACTAAATTACTTTTACAGACACATGTATGTACATTGCAGTTGTCTAAAGTTATATGGGATTAACTCCAGTAAGTCTCATTTAATTTTAAATACAACAAACATGCAACTTGCTCAAGTTAAAAGATTTCTCTACCTATGATCATGACTTTTTTTTAATAAAAAAATGAAATTTCAGAATGTCCTTGTGGAGACAAGTGACAAATATATAAATATGCATATTTATTCAGACTTAAATGCAAGAATAACAATGCTAATCATAAAATAACTGTTAATGTCTAAACCAAAGCTCCAAATCAACTAATGGATTTTTCTTACTGCTAACAGGTTTGGAAGTAGTCTTAACTACTCGTATGAGTTATGCATTATGGATTATGCTTTTCCATTATTAATCAAATTTAACATTAGAACTTAAAATAATTTTAGTTGTTGTAATGAGTATGGTATTTTGCTTACAATGTCACACTTGTTTTGACCTTTCTTGTAAGGTTGGAGTCAATGGAGATTGATTCTGTACCTTCACCAATGAGGAAAGTAAGTGGTTTTTTTGATATATATTTATGTATATGTGTATATGTATACACACATATATATGTTTTTGATTTCTCCTACTCTGACAATGTTGCAAAAAATAGGATTCCCCCTCCCCTCTTCAAAACAATTCTTATCTATGTGCTGATTTCAGGTATATTTGATGCATAGGAGAAGTCAGAGGTTTCCCAAAGAGAAATCAAAAGGCAACGCTGATTTATGGAGTTCTATTCTCCACATGCCATATGCAGGCTTTTAAACTAAATTAAATGGCAAATTCTGGAATTTTCAGTATGTTTATGTTATAAAAATGCAACTGTTTCCACAATAAGTGTTGCTAATGCATGAAACTGAGTTGCAGATAAATTTAAATGATAATAAATTAAGGAATGGAAATATTTTTCACCTTCACCAGACCACATATGTGTGTCTGCAGTGCAGATCTGTGCTAGCATCTCAGGATTTCCTTTATAACCTGTGGATAAGTTAGTTCCATAGGTACACCTATATCCAAAGGCATAACCTATGTGATCCAAACTCATTCTAAAGAAAACTTACTGGTCTTGTTCCTGTTTCTCTTGCCCAACCATAAAGGGAATTTTAGGGGGATCAGTGTGAATGTAAATGCTGTCATTGCAGATGTCTGCAGGTACAAGTGTTGAATCACTTGGCACTCTTGACATCACACTGATTTTCCAAACATTCCTGAAATTTCATTTATGATAGATAAAAGGCTTTTTCTCATCCACAAATAAAATCAGTCATTATCATTCACTGTTTGTAAACAGTTCTGTTTGCTGCTTGACCATGTGATCTTGCTTCTCTCTATGCTCAGTGGCATCAATGTGTGTATAGTACCTTCACATGTTAAGAATGTAGGTGTAGAGTGTGAACTGCTAGGTGTGGAGTCAGTGGTCTGAAAGCAGTGTTAGAATCTGATATTTGAGTAGGGAATTGCAATCTTTGCACGTTATCACTAAGATGAGAATGAGGGCAGGAGCTTTTCACGGTATTGGTATTCTGGTTAGGAGAGGTAAAAGATGCTAGCTTAGGAATGGAATCTCAGCACAGAAGACAATGTGTCTGATGTGTTTCTATTCTGAATGTGACAGATAAGAATATAACTAAAATATGTGTACTTAACCCTTGCCCACAGATGTCTGACAATAGTCACTTAATTTTTAGGTTTCGCATTCTAGTGCTAGAAACTAAACTCTCAGTACAGAGTTCCAGAAATCTGAAGGCTTCATAGACCTCAAAAATGTAACACTATTGCTTAAAATGCCTTAATAATAAATATACTTATTACACTGTGATTAATAACTTGCCACTCTTTTAGCCCGAGACACCGACCGGTCCAACAAGATTATCTGTGATAAGTCCTCCACAGGATGGACGTATGGGTGAGTGAAAATAGAGTTTGTAACTGGATACATTTGTACTACATTAAGTGGATGAATAAATTAAAATCTATGCATTAGCAGTTTACTAAGTCAATTTGAATTGTGTTGAGCTATAAGGAACTTATCATGTAGACTTCAATCCAGCAGTTGGGAAGTGGTTAGAAGTGAAGTATCTTCCTAGAGTTTAGCTAGTCTGTTCTGTAAATGGTTACTTGTAGCCAAAATGATTTTTGCTGAGCAATTATAGTCAGTAGTTGCATAGAAAATACACAGTGATGTGTATGGTTGAACAGAACAAGAATATTTGCAATTTGAGGTACTTAAGTTGAGATCAAGAATCAGGAAGGTGATTTTTCTCACCCTATCACTGCAATAAGTTATAAGACATTTTACCTGCCTATACTTTCTTTCATTCCTGGGCTGTTGCAGAGCTTGGGTGACACTCAGACATAAACAAGACATGAGTAACAGCCTACTGAAATTAGTGCAGTCACTTGAGAGCTGTTTACTGGTGAGGAGTTTCCCAGAATTCCTAATGCTTTACAGGTCTACTATTCATGTTTCCCTCCCATACTTGGTTTTACATTCAGCATCTCAGGCAAGCTTTCATCTGTCTTCAGCAGTTCATAGAATCCATCTTCAGCCACGTAAACTTTTAGTACTCTTGTGTTTTTACATGGTGTAAATGTCCCAAAATAAAGACGAAAGTAATCACAATGCAATTTCACTGAAAGAGGAAAAACTGATTTTTCTATGTTATGTCTGATTTATATGCTCAAACTCTTTCTAAATGCATGCTTGCCTATAAATTTATGGATAACAAGATAAACAGTGCTGATGTTAACTGCTTTTTTAAATTGTGTCTAAGTATAAATAGATATTTATTAGACAGTAAAACTATATGTAGAACAGTTTTGTATTCAGCACATTTCAGAACGAATCCATAAAGTTTTGCAGTGCACAAAGCTGAATGAATCAAAGTGTATGTGCAAAAGTGAGGACAAGTGGGAACAGTGATTTAATGGTGCACTAAAGAAAGCTCCCTTTTCAGAGGTGGATTGGGCAAAAAAAGATTAGCTGAAGAACTGGAGCACCTCAGCATAGCTATCCTGATAGTCTAATAATAGTCTAATAAATGAAAGAAGGTGAAAGAAACCAACATGTGTTTAACTTGGACAAGATGTGCAGGAATGGTGTGATATAATGTTTATGTGATAGCTAAGCTCTTTCATTCGTGATTGTAGTTGTGCATCATTTTTAATTCTTGAATAAACCAATCCTGAATTTGTTCCAAATCATGCAAATAAAGGACTAATCTTTGTTTCCAAAGTTATCTCCTAAGCAAAATGGGTAATTCACATTGGATCTGTTTTCAAAAATCTGATTCTTACAGGTAGTGTATCCTACAGAAGTTCTCAGTCATCGGTAATAATGTCAAATCAAAACAGTAGAGCAGGATCTACAAGGTAATGAAATACTGTTTCAAGATGTTACCATCTCCTGTAAGAGACTGAAATTTCTTATCTGGCCTGTAATTAATCTGTATGAGTAAAGGTTGTGTTCTGTATCTGCAGAAGTGTTACTGTGCAGGATGGCTATCATCTGTACAAATGTGTTTGTTCTTGGTGGAAGGTTTTATTTTTAAATCAATTTTTTCAAAAATGTACGGAGATAATCTGAGTTTCTGCAGCTGTGGACATCTGCAGTCCTGTTACTTCCATACAAAGGGTAGTAATTTTATAGTAAGGAAGTGTAACAATGTCTCTGCTTTATCATTCTCGTAAAAATCAGAGATGACAGCACAAGGCTTTTCTGTGAATAACCTGAACTTTTCAGGCAGCCTGGAGCAGGTGTTTCAAGTTTTTCATTTAAACATTGAAAATGTCTCAAACTCTGAGAATTATTAACATCAAGAAATAGCTTTAAATACTTCCAGAAAAAGTAAACCCTTGTTCTTTATAATCATTAAGCCAAATATATCTTCCTAGCACAAATGTAAAATATATGTGGCAAAGTATTTCTTTTGTTTCCATCTCTGATTGTCCTACAATTTGTTTTCTCATTCAGCTTTTTGAAATATGTAAAAATCTTAAAGAATTGAAAATCTGATAAGGAGTACATAGAACACAATAATTTCTTGTATTAGTATGAAAGTATCCTCAGATGATGTGCATGCGTGAATTAATTTCATTAACAGAGCCACACCTGTAGGACTACCACATAGTGGATGTTCATCATCATCTGGATCACAAAGTAGTAGAAGGGGATCATGGGCTGATTTCAGAACCCCTGAGCTGTATCCATTTACATCACCTTCCCCACAGCCATCTATAACAAGACATCCGATCACCCTCTCTGGACTTCTGCAAAGGCAACATTTAGGCAAGTATAGTTATGAAATAATGTTTAACTCTTCCTGAAAAATTTTCAGCATAGCACCTTATTACTTATTTGTGGGAGACAGTAAATAAGAAATAAATGAAACAACATAAAAATGATATTTCAAAATTGGTAGTAGGCTCTCAGCAAAGTATGTAAAGTGTTGATGCTTATGATCAGTATTTTGCCTTAGTCTTATGTGCAATAGAATATCTGCTGTGTAAATGTGTTCTTGCTTCACCTCAGAGTGATATTTTAACAGAGATTTAAATCTGATAATGTCCATAATTGTTCTCTGGAGAAAACAGCAAAAACGAGTTCTAAAGAATACAAAACGTATAATTGAGAAAAACTAATGTTGCAACAAATCTCAAGTAAGGGGTAGAGAAAAGAAGAAAATGAGTGAACTCAGTGGGAGTCATAGCAAGACTGAGATAGTCAACGGAAGTCCCTTAATACAGCAAAATAGTTGAGTTGAAACATGGGAAAGAAGGAAAAAAATGTCTATGATGTCAAAAATGAATAGGAGACAGTTCTCGTATAACTGAATGGTGTGTTGAGAACATGGGTGACTGCTGACATCTCACTGCGTCCAGAAGACTACATGGAAGGTAACTGCAGCATTCTGAGAGTAAGAAGTGGAGTATTACTCTTGTGGTTGTTAGAAACTAGGGAATATTAATGGAAATGAGCAGATTAGTGAACTCATTCTGAAAATGAACAGTGGGTAGGTAATGGGCAGATGATGAGACAGAGAAGAGGAAGGAACATGTGTTAAGGAATAGGAAAAAGATGAGGCTGTTAAATGGGTTGGGACTAGAAAAGGAGAGCAGAACCATGCATGGAACAGAGCAGAGGCTATAGAGGAAGCAGATTAAAGAATTTATGAAGAATGGAGATAAGAATGCAGAATATTAATGTAAAAGAGGAAGCAAGATGGAACAAAGGAAAAAGATGAGAGGACAGTAAAGGCTACTTTTTGTGCTTGAGGTGGAAAAATAGTCTTTTTCTTGCAAAGCAATATAAGTAGAAAAAAGACACGGTGGATAGTTGCAACAAACAGACTAAAAAAAAAGCAAAGAATAAGGAAATGATGGGAAGAAAATTAAAGGATGCAAAATCATTTTCTAGTATTTTACATTTATAAGTAGTATTATTCGCTGTCACGTGCCCTGTATCTTCACAGTTTGGGCGAAAAGGCTTAGATACTAATTATGATAATTTGTTGCTGGCAATTTCCCCCATATTCTGCGATGCTAACTTTATTTATTTTATCATTACCTATTATCCTATCACAGACTTCAGTAGTAATCTTCCCAATCCCATTATTTTTTCAATCCTAGTACTGTTCTCTCATTTGCCAAATTCTCTATCTCAACTTCACATTTCTTACAGGTCTAGCTGTCAAGACATCCATGTAAATGTCCACAAATGACAGTTAAAAACAAGCTAGTCCAGGGTATTATTTGTTGAGTGCAACATAAAGCTAGCAAAAGTAGCTGCATAGAGGTCAGCCTAAGAAGGATGTGGGTAGGAATTGCAGTGGGACAGATTAAGTCATAAAATCATAGAACGGCAGAATCATAGAACAGCCCAGGTCAGGAGGCACCTTGAATGATCATCTGGTCCAGCCCTTTGTGGGATGAGGTTATCTAGCACCCTGACCAATCACAAGTTGCAAACCTAATTCTCTGTATTGCAGAGTTTGCATCACAAGTGAAATAGATATTTTTAAATTTACATTAAAAAGATCATTCATCTCTAAACCACTTGTTACTCCATATTAGTAAATGTGATCTTTCTATTCCTAGAGTATCACATCCCAAGCAGTTTTGAGTTCATAAACTTCATGAAACCAAAATACATACATTTGAAGAAATTCACTCATACTCAAGTGTGATGCTTACAGCATGTGGAAGCTTGCATCATAATTGCTTTACCTGTGGAATTTCTGGACAGTGATGCAGCATGTGAAGTAATGGATGAGCCTGATAGGATCTCTAAATAGTGTAGGAGAAATTAAAGTTAAAAAAAGAGTAGCTATATTGAACTTAAGTATTAGTTATCAGTGAGCTATATGTTTGCAGGTTAATTGCAGTTGATATACAAAACAATGCTTTGGAGATTCATTAGTGTGTCTGAAATTGGAATATAGCAAAAATGTTTTTGTACAAAGAGAAACCCAATTCTTTTACATAAATACAAAGGAGCATATTTAGATTAATGAAAATAGTTGTTGAAAATTTCTCATCAAATTGTATGGGGTTTATTTTGATTTTTTGGTAGTTTTGCTTTTCCTTTTATAAGTTCCCAAAATAGTTTGCATGAATAAAGTTTTCCTTTAATCTTACCAAGCTTTTTTTTTAAATTTGTACTTGTATTCATATTCTAGGTTTGACTAATTTTGGAGGACATTCAACAGAAAGATAAGGAAACATCTATGAATTGTTCTGGTCAATAAGCATCTGGAGAAGCACTACACAGTCTTCGGATATCAAAGTATTTGTAACTTCTGAAATGTCAAATTGGCATAAACCAGCAAATTATTCACTATGAATACTGTACATAAAGCATCACTGATCGTTCTGATTAACATCAACAGTAGCTTTAAACAGGAGTACAAAGTCCTCTTGCAGTTTTCAGAACTTTTGTCTTAAAATGTACAAATAAACAGCCTTTATTAACTGTTAAGACAAAACATGATTATATATTGAATGAGCATTTTTTTGTTGTGAATGCATTGAGCTGCAGCAGAATTCCATTTTTAAACAGTTGCACCTATATGGTATTAGAGATGGATTCCAGTCCTAAAAAAAAAAAAATTTTATGGATTTTTGATTACAGAATTCCTAAATTTGGTTCTTACTCAATACATCTCTTTTTGTTTGCACTGTTGAAAGAGGTAAGGCTTGACGGATATTACATTCTAGCAGGCTCCACTGAACTCATAGCACAGTATCTATTCCATACTTTGAAAAGTTTGCCATTTGATTTAGGTAGCAATGATTTCTTCCCAAAGCAGAATGAAATCAGGGAACTGGGATGGAGAGACAAAACACAGCGAAGACTATCTTTACTCTCTCACAGAAATTACAGCTGGAGAATTTGAATGAAGGGTACCAGAATGCAACCTTTTCCTTATTCACATTCCCACCATTACTATGTCTGGCAAACTTTTGGTATGACTGAGTCATCAAATATTCACCTTTATTTTGTTTTGACCCTAGCTTTATCTGGACTATTTTAAATATAATAAAACTAAAGTGTTAATTCACCCAGAAAACAGGTGAGTGAATGACTGTTCTTGCTATCTCTGAATTTAATGTCATCTATTTTACACCATCTCCCTAGGTAGCTACTGGGATGAGTTTTAACTAGGAAGTGTGACCCTTGAATGCTCCTTTAAACATCACATTTCCCTTATTTCAATGTATAACAGCTTTTACATTTCTGCCATGGGAATGTTAGTGTGTTCTCTCCTCCCCAATATTCTTACACTTCACATTCTAGATGGAAATTCTAAGTAAATTTCCTTCCAAGCAAGCTTCCATTCAAAAGATTTCATTATACAATGCCACAGGCATATACAAATAAAGGTGTGTAGTGCAACTTTAAAAAATTTCTACTCTCTTTTAGTTTCAGATGAGGTAGAATTGCTTGAGAAATGAGGCTAGTGAAATATGATTGCTGGCTTCCATGTCATTTGTGTCCCAATGGTTTTCTGTTTGTATCACGAGAAGGTTGTGAAAGTTGTGTCTATAAATGGGCCTTGATTCTTTCTAATGTCTGTTTTATCACACTGCAGTCATCATTCAAGTCTGCAAAGTCATACCCTAGCTTTTATAATTGCTGGAAGTTGCATTCACAATCAGGTGAAATACCTTGGGTTTATTAGTTTTGTTTCTCCCTTCTCCCACCCTGCCTGTCCCCATCAGTTGCAGAATTTGAGGTCCATGAAGCTGAAAGTTGTGTCTATAAATGGGCCTTGTCTGAAGGTTCCCTGGAAGAAGTCAGGTAGCAAAGAGTCATATGAGCTAGATCTATGAAATTCACAATAACGAACAGTGCACCATGTCATTTAGAGATGTGAGTTAAGTATCCTCAGAGAGATGAATGATTTCTGTGTTCCTGCTCACCGCAGTGATTTCCACACAAATTAATTAACAATCTTCAGGTAATCTTCATCTGTTCACCTTTTCTGTGATAAAAGCTTGATACAGCAGACAGCATTTTGTGGCTGTAGATTGAGAAGAGATCTTGAAACATCATATCTATAAAGAAAATCAGTATAAAAATGGGTAGTTTATTATTTTACTTTCTTTGGTACTTACTATCTAGTAGTATCTTCTTCTTGACATCTATTACCTATTTGAGCTCACAGTCCAATCCTGAAGAAAAAAATGCCCAACAACATAATCTTCAGAGATGTTACAGCTTTCAAATGCATTTTGAAGAGAAAACAGGATGCAATTTGAGGAAAAAAAAGGCATGTGAGCTATACATGCTGAGCAGAAACACTTTTGAATGACACTGTCTTGCAAATTAATGAAGAGAATGTGAAAGTTTTCAAAACTTACATCCAAGTGGATCTTATATAATACAAACTAATTACTAGGAAAAAATTATTTAAAAGGAAAAAAGCTGTTTGAGAAATGTAATTTCCCAAGTTCAGTGCTTTTATCATTTGTTCAAACGTTGAAAATACTAAATTCGGTATTTTATTCTTTAAAAAGAGAAGAAGGGGAAAAAGCAAGATTTCCTTTATCTTCCAATAAACACAGAATTTTCTATGTTAATCTTTTAGGTATCCATCTTCACGGAATTTTTCTTGCTTTTGTAAGGAGTTAGTCCTTTAATCCGTAAGGAAATTTGCAGTACGCTAATGATCCACCAGAGGGTGCTGACTTACCTCTAAACAAATTTATTTAGTCACACCAGTCTTCGGCCTTAGAGGAATAAAATCGGTACTGCTCTGACGGTTTCAGTTTCGAATTTATGTAGAA